AAAGGGGCAGAGTCACAATAGCCCTGGTGTGTGTAATACTGCCCCTCACTGTCTCGGACGACCCTGGGGTTCTGGGGCTCAGGATACAAGATCAAATGCCCACACCACGTCATACTTCTGCTCAACAATCTTCAAGGCTTTCCCATCATTCCCGCAGCCAGACCCCTCGACCTTTTTCCAATCTGCTGTGGAGCAAGCACTGGTCTGGAGTCTGGCAGTCTGAACTTTGTTTTCCTCCGGGGACCTTGACTTCCTCCTCTGAGAAAAGAGCGGCCACATCCCTCGGCCCTTCCAGCTTTAACAGCTAGACTTCATGGGTCTCTCTGCAGCCCCCTCAGCCTTTCACACTTCACCCAAAGGACTTGCCTTGCCCTGAATCTCATGCTTTCTCTCCCCTTTGTTTGTTCATGGTAATCCTTTCTGTGAAATCTTCTTCCCTCGCATCTCTGCCCACCCACGTCCTCACGCTACTCCTAGCCCAAACATCACTTCCTCCAAGAAGTCTGCTCCAGTCCCAAGAGGAAGCCACCTCATCCCGTCCACGCTCTCCCAGCACGATGTCGGTGGTCTTCCCTTCTTTTTTGTTTCCTGGGGTGCTGGGGCAGGTTATGCTGTCCCAAAAGGCACAGTATCGTTTGAGTCAAGAATGCAGGTTTGGGCAATTCCCTGGCGGCCCAGTGGTTAGGACTCTGTGCTTCTACTGCAGCGGGCCCAGGTTCAGTCCCTGGTCAGGGAACTAAGATCCTGCAAGGCACACGGCGTGGCAAAAAGAAAAGATGCAAGTTTTGAGTCAAACAGACCTAGGTTCAAATCCTGGTTTCCTGAACTGTGATGATCTTGGGCAAGTGACATAACGGTTCTGAATTTCACTTTCCTAGGATGCAAAACAGGAATAACACAGCCTCCCCGTCAGAGGGTCTTGGTGAAGATTAAATAAAATGATGTACGTTAAAGCCCCATAAATAGTTGGTATTACTATCACCTTGTCTTTCTCCTGATGCAAGTACCTTGAAGGAGGACATAGCATCTTCCTCCTGACAGCTCAACACAGGGTCCTTCCTGAGCATGGTTTAAACATTTTTAGAATAAATGAAACAATCAGAAGTAGCTTCAGGCTATATATCTATGTTCACAGCAGCATTTTTCACAACAGCTGAAAGTGGGAGCCACCCAAGTGTCCATCAACAGGTAACTGGATAAACAAAGTGCAGCATTTACATAAAATAGAATATTATTCAGCCTTAAAAAGGTAGGAAATTCTGACATATGGATGGCTGGACCTTGAGACCACTATGCCAAGTGAAATAAGCCAGTCACAAAATATTAACTATATGATTCCACTTATACAAGGTACCTAGAGTAGTCAAATTCATAGAGAGCAAAGATGGAATGGTGGTATCAGGGGAAGCCAGGAGGGAGGAATGGGGAGTAGTTGTTTAGTGGATACAGAGTTTCCGTTTTGCATGATAGAAAGCATTCAGAAAATTGGTGGCACAACACTGTGAATGTAACTAACGTTATTGAACTATACACTTAAAAATGGTTAAGATAGTAACTTTTATGCAATGTTTATTTTATCACAAAACTAAATAAGATAAAAATCAATGACTTGCTCAGACTTTTTTTTAAAAAAAGGAGTAGATATAGGCTGAATCCCTCAAGAATCTTAGTAGGAACAGAGCAGCAGAAAAGATGCTCTTAAAGTTTCAAATATTTGGGTATAAAATTTGTTTTAATGTCCATGAGCCACTCATATATTCATAAGCTCCAAACGAGCTCATTTTTCTTCTCCTTTCTGCTCTGAAGGGTGACATAAAGATCACCAGCACAGAAAGGATCTGAACGACCTGCTGATTACAGGATAATATTCATACAATGAGGTTAAAAGCACTGGCTGAAAAGTTCTTTCATAAAACCTGCTACATGAGAAGAGAAAATAATTTATGAGAACATGAACAATTAGCACTTTGTAAAAAAGAAATAATGCACTTAACTTGATCCCTATATTTAACATCAATTAAAGATTATCCTCATGAATGAAACTCGACCTGGAAATTAACAAGGGATTTAAATTGCATTATGCAAGCGAAAGATAGAAACCAAGAAGCCAGTATGCGAGCTCAGGGCTTCCAATATTCAGCTAGGCTGGCATCTGTATGATGAAGCCTGACCATTTCTTCACATTTCTCTGAGCCACAAGATATTGCTGCAACATATAAGAATATTTGTTTCAGCCCCAAAATTGCATGATGAGTCCCTAGGTAGCTACAAGCACGAGGTTGGCACCCTTCATTTTTAAAAATAACTTCTGGGTCATTTTTTTTTTTTTTACTAATAAAACTAACCAAGAGATTCCCTTTAAAAGAATGTCTGCACTGCTTCTAGATTTGACTCTGGATCATTGCCATAAAACTATTCAAGTGAATCTATAGGGTGAGGCTAGATCAGAAATTATATTCTGGGTCACCTAGTTTCTTCCCAAGTTACAGAGCATTTTATTCTCTAAAATGAGCAGCTCAAAGGGTGTGAAATGGGTCTTAGAAAACAAGTGTGGACTGTAGCTATTTATGTGTGATTTTTAAAAAATAGTTACCTTGTACTGAGCCATACTCTGTGCTAAGCAACCCACAACCCACCAGGCCAGTTTTACTATCCCCATTTTATAACTAAGAAGACAGAGGCTTAGAGAGTTCACTTATTGAGGTTCGCATGGGCAGATCTGGGATGGGGACCCAGGCTCCTCTGTTTCCAGAGTTCACTGGCAGCCATAGTCTTCACCGTGGAGGGCAGAGATGATGGCAGAAGCAGAGAAACCCTCAAAGAAGACATGCACAAGACCCCCTCAGAATGCCCCAGAGCCTGTGTCTAGAACCAGAGGCTGTCTCTGTTTGTCTCCTGATACAAAGCATCCTGCTGCTCCCCAGGGGACATGTCAGGACCACAGCTCTGATGCTGATTGCTAAGAATTGCCCCACTGGGAGGAAACAGAGAGCTTCTTACCATCATTCAGACCCCCTGCAAGAAAGGGTCTTGTTCACAGCCCCATGAGAGATTTGGCTTTGTTTTGTTGGTTTTTTTTAACTTCTATCACTGTCACTCTTGCTACATCCAAGTTTTCTGGTTATTGTTTCTAGTGCCAGATCTGGGGACAATATACCTCTTTGCTGAGAGAAAATTTCGGCTCTCACAGTCCTGGCTTGGTGTGTGTGTGTGCAGAGCACAGGCTTCCCCATTGTTATCTTGGGAAAGAGAAAGCAGATGTTAACCGCTACCCCTTGAGAATTCACCTTGCTGTGCTGTAAAAGTCTGCATTATTAATATTCCAAAATCCTTCCACTCTTGTACGCATCTTAGATGGGAGTGCATTTTTGAGAATTCAAAAATGTGGAGAGGATGGAGGTGGCAGAAGTTTATTAAATTGGCCCAGGGCAGTTTTGAAATTTGAAAGTTTCTCACTCTCCATGGCTCTGGGCCAACTCACAGCCAACTTGGTTGAACAGCTTGTGCAGAGGTTTCTCATTGGGTAGCCCTCCCCATCCTCACAGAGGGTGAAGGTCAACTACAGTGGGTACCCAGGGAGGACAGATTCCTCCAGCTCCACTCTGGAAAAAGGGCACAGTGGCAAAAGGAAGACACTCCATAAGACTTCACAGTAAGTGCATTAAATATTAGTTAAATTAATCGATCACTTTTAAGACAAATAATTCTAAGGCAACTTCTCTGTTATACAAGCCAGCAATGAAACTCAGCAGTTTCTTCCTCCTCTGAGCTGGCTGACCCATTGGAAAGTAAGAGCTGGGGCTTTTTTTTTTTTTCACTCTATTTTGAAAAAAAAAAAGGGAGAGAGAGAGAGAGAAACAGCAAAACCAAACAGCCACTCGTTGCAAAATTGTAAAATAATGGTGAAGGGTATTTCCCAACATACAAATGTGCTTTGCAGCAAATAACTGCAAGTTTCTGTAACAATAAAGCAGAGCGAATAAGTCCAGAGTTTTGAAATCAGAAAGACTTAGGCTGAGTTCCACCTCTGTTCCTTTGCAGCTGTGTCACCATAAGCAAGTTAATTAACCTCTCTGAGCCTCAGTTTCCTCCCTTGCTAAATGGAGATGACAACAGCACCTAATTTATAGGTCTGCTCTTAAGATTAAATAAGATACTGGAGATAGAGTACACAGTACCTGACACATACTAGGTGCCCAAGAAATGTTAGCTGCCTCATGTTATTATTTTCATCATCATTATTGTTGGGGAGGTTGATTTTCAAGTACACTGGCCCCCAAATGCAATAGCATCCACACATCCTGCCCCAAGACCAACAGTTGGGATTTGATTTTGCCTCATGAGCTAGACCCAAGGATCTCCTAACAGGAGACAAACTGCAAAATAAAGGCGCCTTCCAATAGGAAGGGTTTCTCTTCCCCAACCCTCAGCCCCACCCCCTGGTTTTGATCTCAGAATTCCCAGCTACTGAAGATTTATTAAGGCCATTTGGGGATAGGGAGAAAAGAAAGACAAAATAGAATCTATTTCTGTAATTAACTGCTTAACTAGAGCTTTCAATTAATGGAATCTCTTAAAGAAGAGAGGGATGGATACCCACCATCTCTCATTTATCTTCCCAGGGGTGAGTTGTTCCCTAGCCCAAGGGCAAAGTTCCATCCCAAGGGAACTCAGGTGAGTGCTGTTCGTTACCTCCTGAGCCTAAGGCATCTGAAGACAGAAGACCCTCAAGGGTTTGTAGTAGTAAAAGGTGGGGTCAGCGGAGCCGGGAGAGGGAGACGGACGTTTAAGCAAGACTGGCACAGGTAGGGATGAAACGGAAAAGACTGGTCTCATTAACACAAAGTAACCGGCCAGGTTAACTGACCCAGAGCCCATCTTCCGAGCACTGGGGGAAAGGGAGCTTGCTGAAGCCACAGCGCCTGGTGTGGGAGGCTGAGTGGCGCTCCCTGCAGAGGGAGCTGTGCGGGCGCTCCCCCGCCCGGGAAGACAGCCATCCATCACTCCGGGAGAGGCGGCGGCGGGGACGTGAACTCGGTCACCTCCTCCCCCTCTCGCTTCCCCTGCAGGCTCCGAGGAGCCGGGGCGGTGGCGGCAGCGCGAGGAACAGAACGCACTGCAAACTGCTTGGCTACCCTCTTTGCAAGACTGACGCCGCCGACACAAGTTTTTCCATTTCCCCAAACAGCCTCTCCGGCTGCCAATAAAGACGGCGGCGCTAGGCCCAGGCACGCGGTCAAAGGGGGCCTTTCCAGCGGCTTCGGAGAGGCCCTCTCCGCCCGCGGTGCGCGCTGGGGCCCCCGGGGGACGCTCAACCTTCCCCACTCTGTACGCCGGTGGGCACGCCGGCGACCCGGGCCGATTGCAAGGTTGTGCGGAATAATTACCGAGTAATTGATTGCGGGCCTGATAGGTGCCAAGTCCAAGTCCCCTTCGAAACCGCCGTCTGCGTCCTGCGTGGGTAAGGCTCGGTTAACGCCCGGGATCCTACTTTCGCAGGGCTCTGAGGCTCCATTAGAGAGAGGCTGTGTCATGGAAACTGTGGTCTTAACAGAGGGGTATGTGGTGGATACCCAATTACCTGCACCAGCCTACACTGGCTAGCAGGCCCCTCTCCCTGCCTCATTAATGGGATCAGGGGCTGTTCTCATCCCTGACCTAACCCATCACCATGACCTAACTCCACAGACCTGTCCTCATTGGACTTGACCTGCAGGGCCGAGATTGGGGAAGGCATGGCCTGGAGACCCACAGCAGGGGAAACAATGTCCCTTCCGTGCCTGACCCAATTCCTAGACCCAGGCCTTCTACCAAGAATGTTCAGATGCTTCTCCAAACCAAAGCAAACTGCAGAACTTTGCAAGGCTCTCAGATCTAAAGTAGAAAAGTCTTTGGAACAAGGCCTGCAGCTGTGCGGGACACAAGGATGCGCGGGAGTGACCTTGAGAAAGGCCTTCTCCAGGGTCCGCAGTGACCACCCCTCCCGCCAAGTGCCACGACAAGGCCCAATTTCTCAGAATCTGAAGCAGATCAGGTCTGTCCCTGACTAGTGCATAAAGACGGCCGCTAGGCCAAGACAAATTCCAGTGCAGCTCCCTCCCTTCTAGAAAGCAGAGAAGGGACCTGGAGAGAAGGGACTTGACTGGAGAAAGGAGGGGAGAGGGTGTTTGTAAACCTCACCTGCTCCCAAAAGAAAACCTTGGAGCCCAAAAGAAAGAGGCCAATAAAACAAATCCAAGAATTCATATCACACACTCCAGAGACAACAGGACTGACCACAGGCCCCTGGATCCTACCTTCCCCCTACTCAGGAAGGACAGGATTTGACCCAGGACCACCGTGGCCCCCTTCTCTACACAAACAAACGTCTTTCTCCAGTGGCTGGGCCCAGGTCCCAAGGTGTGCTAGCCTCAGAGACACGCCAATCGCTGCTCCCCAAAGGTGGGGCCGTGGGGATGGGGAGAGGAGGGGTGACTCTGTCGGCCCCTGCGGGTCTTGGTGGACCAAGCTTCGCTGTGGCTGAGAAGCCAGCAGGGACTGGCCCAGGGTCACCACGCCCCTAGTGTGAGGCTCAGAACGCTCAAGTCTGGGGCAGAGAGAAGGGGGAAGGCTTAACCGTGGGCCACGTCTAAAGAGATCGGATTAGGACAGGCTAGGTGGCCTCCCTGAGGGCCCTGCGCCCGCGCGCCCTGGATTGCCAGGGCTGAAAGCGCCGCCACCCCGCGGAGAATCCCAGAGCTCTCTCGGAACCCGCGCCAGGAGAGCCCGGAACAAGACCCCGTTCATTCCAGGCAGGGGAGCCTGGACTGCTTCCAGCAACCCTCTTCCGCTGGTCACTTGGACCCTGTCTCTCGGCCCTGGAGACCCACGGCAGCGCCTCCCTCGGAGCAGCCCGCGGGGCCTCCGGCCCGACCCTCTGGAGCGTGGCGGCGGCGCCCGCTGAGCCCTAGCTGGCCGCGCGCGCGGCGGAGACCAAGGCTGCCATCTAGCGGGCGCGGTGGGCGGGCGCCGGGGGGACCCGAGCCGGGGGGATCCCGGGGTCCGCTGCAGCCCGGCAGGGTTTGGAAGCCAAGGACTCGGTGCAAACTTCACCGCAAGCTGTGAGACCCTGGACAAGCCCCCGACCCTTTTTGAATCAAACCTGTTTTCCTGGTAAAACGGAGAGGGAACGACTTCTCCGCTCAGGGTCGTCGGGAAAGATGTGTCGGGGAGAGAGGTGCAGCCCCTTCCTCCAGGCCAGCCCTCCGCGCGCCTGCTTCACACCCCACTCCTGCCCAAACGAGTCTTGAGCAAACCCAGTCCCCCGAAGACGGGAGAAGGCGGCGGCGCTGAGGAAAGCCAGCAAAGCAGGAATCCGCACTGAACAGCAGGATCCTTTTCTAGGAATTGTAAACCCAGAATTGTAAATAAAATGCTAATGATTTATTCGTGCTCAAACTCCGGGGGCTGCGTCGCAGCTTTTGAAGACAATTCCAAGCGAAGCTTTCCAGGAAGGCGGGCCTCCCCGCGGCGCCTTCCAGGGCTCACCGGGGGCTTCCAGGCGGTGGTTCCCGGCCGAGAGCTCTGAACTGCCCTTGACTGAGACCTGCACAGGGTTAGAGGAGGACTGGTCTTTTTCCTTCAGTCCGAAACTGAGTCAGACCCCTCAGCATCCACCCATCATTCATTCAACAAATATTTACCCATCACCAAGTACCTACCAAACCTTTAGCTAAAACCTGGTGATCAAAACAGACACAGAATTCACATCTGGTTGGGTAAGTTTGACTTAATGAACTGTCCTAGAAATAAATCCATGCAAATTACAGTGAGTGCCTCAAAAAGGAAAAAAAAGCAAGAGTATAGATTTTTAACTTCCAAGGATGGAGTCCATAAAAGTTCTGGAAGCTTCCAGTGGCTCTGGAGGGTAGGGCTAAGGGTTGATCTTTGAGTATCCTAAATATTTCACAGTATTTCTTCAACGGATGAGCTTTAAAAAAAAAAGCTTAAAAACAATTCAACAATATGTATAGACATCTGCTGCTCATGGTAGCCATGGTGATACCTGACCTGGCTGGGTAAGGTGGGGATCACTGAGCACCCGTAGATTGAGGAGAACACAGATAGCCCATCAGACTGCTGTCCAACCAGTGCAACCCACAAAGCAGCAGAGAGAGCCTCACTTTTAGCTGCTTCTCCCGACAAAGCAAGAAGCTCAGTGCCAGCAGGAGAAGCTGCAGTGGCTACAAACCCTACCCCTCAGATCAGGAGACCTGGAGCAGCCCCACCCAGCTCGCCGGAGCTCCCTGCAAAAGCACTTTGAAGGCTGTGTTTGTTTTTAATAAACCTCTCTTCCCTACACTCCCTTTTATATAATTTCTTGAGAAATGGTGAGTCTCTGGTTAACACTGACCTTTCTAAGGTCTTTTTGAATATAAGACACAAATGCACTAAAGATGATCCAGATTCCTGCTTCCATCACTAAACTGGTTTTTGCATTTGGGGGGCCTCCATCAGCCCACCAAGGAAATAGTTCCTCCCTCACTGGTCACTAAAGGCCATATTGTTGAGGAAATTCAGGCATCCTAAAGAGGGTTATTCTGAATAACTTTTATTCTTTCCTTCAGTGGACAAATTTTTATTGCTCTCCTACTGTGCATGCGTGCTAAGTTGTGTCAGTCATGTCCCACTCTTTGCGATCCCATGGACTGTAGCCCTCTGTCCATGGGATTCTCCGGGCAAGAATACTGGAGTGGGTTGCCATGCCCTTCTGCAGGGGGATCTCCCCAACCCAGGGTTTGAACCTAAATCTCATGTCTCCTGCATTGGCAGGCAGGGTCTTTACCACTAACGTGACTTGTGGACTGACTCTATACTGGGTCCTGATGATGTAAGGCAAATAAAACACCTCCTGCCTTTAGGGGGCTCACAGTTTAAGTCTGGTTTCTGCTTTGCAAAGCAAGGAATTAGGAATTCCCTTTCCCTAGCCTGGCTGTGTCAAGACCTGTACCCCAGCACAATCCTGTGTCCTTTAAATTAGTGTATGCTCTGGGAATTCATAAAGCAATCAGGTCCCTAATGCTATAAAAAGAGGATGGCATTTGATCAGAGCATCCAGAACCAAAGTCCAAAGAACAACCTTTCTGAGGCACCCTTGTTCCAATTCCTGCCCTGTAAGCTGAGTTTTATCGTGCTTTATTTCACAAGGCTGGGTTCTAATAAGTTTCTTTAAAGTAATTCCCATGTAAAAGGAAAAATGCCTGCAATGAAAATGAGTGAAATTCAACTATAGGAAACAGCATGGATGAATCTCATAATGTTGGAACCAAGAAATAAAACACATACATATAAGATGATTCCACTTATCCAAAGTTTAAAAGCAAGCAGCAATAAGCTATTTGGGTGGGAACATTATGAAGAAAGGCAAGGATAAGGGTCAAGAAAGGGATTATTTCTACGAGGGAGGGGGTTGAGATGAGGGAGGGGGTTGAGATACGGGAGGGGCAAACAGTGGGCTTTGGGGGAGCTGGTAATACTCTAGTTCTTAACCTGGATTGTGACTGCAAAATTATTTGCTTTATATATTATTTGTCAAATCATGTCTGTTTTATGCACATTTCTATATATGTGCGATAGCTCACAATAAAAAATATGTTCAAGAAATAGGTAGAAAAGTAATATCCAACCTATTTTTTAATGTATTACAATTTTTTTCAAACTGAATCCTTCAGTTTGAGTATCTATACCCTTCCTGGATTCTCTGTAACTGCTGTATCAACCCTTTGTTTGATTCTCTCACGTGACAGCAACAGATTCTAATCCTGACTCAGCTTTATAGATAACACAGGTGAGAAAGAGCTCAGCCCAGGAGCTGGAATTCTGGTTCTGTAGTATTACTAATTTACTGTGTGACCTTGGACAAGTCCCTTCCCTCTCTGGGCCTCAGTTTCTTCTAGTACACAATGAGGGTGTTAGAGGAGACAATTCCCCAGGCCTGTACTTATGTGGGAGGTATCTTGCATGTTGAGTGAGGTTTTCTCTATTCTAGAAACCCCCTTCCATCTCCCAAAGGACCCATACTTGTGGAGCCCAGCAAATCTCACAGTGCTGTCACACTGCAGAGGAAGTGAGTGCATATCTTGAAAGCAAGGCCATCAAATACTCCAGGTGGCTGTCTGAAACTGCCATAAGCACCGTCTTTCACCACCTCCCAGCATCCACGCCCAGAGAATCCCAGCGCCTTCAGTTCTCAGATGTCTCCCCTTGGCAAAGGCAAGAGCTGTCTTTGGGTCTGATGGCCCTTGGGGACATGAACACTGCTAAAATCTCATTGATTAATCGGGTCCTACCCTTGGATCAATGGCTGGCATTAGGCGAACTTAGCACAGTTTTATTAGTCTGGCTGCCCTCTTGTAGATGTTATAGATGAAGAAATAAAATGAGGAGGAGAGGGAAAAAGGACAAAATCATTAGTCTGAAAGGAGCAAAAGAGCATCTTCTCTATTTTGTATTCAGATTTAGAGCTGCACTGGGAGCACACACAACAATCCATTTTTATGCTGTTTCCAGAAGTTCAGTTCAGCCTCCTGATTTCCCACTTTGCCTGAGATCTAAGATCCCAGGAGCATCTGATCCAGAGCCAAGGCCGGCCTGTGCTCTTAAGCCATTCCAGGACCCACCAAACACCTAAGGTCCCATTCATTCATTCATTCATTCATTTCTCACAAGGGTAAAAGGCTTTTGCATGATGCAGGGAAA